TTGGGGCTGGAACAAGCTGCCCCGTTGGGGGGGGGGCATGGGCTCTGCCCTGCTGCTGCTTGCCCAGCCATGGCAGGCAGGGGGAGTGGGGGTAATACAAGAGATGCGGGCGTGGCTTGCTCCAGGCAGAAGGGGGGAAAGCGGCAGCAGGGTATAGCCCCCACTCCCAGCGCTGCCACACCCACATCCTGTGCCTCCCGCACCAACTGGCAAGTGGTGGCAGAGTAGAGCCCCATTCCCAGCGCTGATACGGGAGCGGCAGCACTGGGAACAGAGGTATGCCCTGCTGCTGCTCAGAGTGAGTGGTGCCTGCATCATGCCCCCCCCACGCTGGCTGAGCACACGGCAGCAGGGCAGAGACCCCATGACTCCCCTGCTGGGCCAGAGGCAGGCACAGCCGGAGGAGCCGTGGCTGAAGCCCCCAGGGCTGTGCTGCCCAGCCACATTCCCAACCCGGCCCCAGCCTCTTGGCAATTAAAAAAAATGAAGGCCCATACTCACCAGCTGCAGGAGTAGCGATAAGGGCCTCTGAGGGCTCATGGCAGAGGCCCCCTGCACAGCACGGGGCAGTGGGGGCAGCAGGGATCACTGCCCCCACCTGGAACCCGTGCGGCAGATGCCCCATGGTGTGGATGCAGCGCTGCGTGCTGTTCCGAAGCTGAGATGGCTCCACGTGTCAGCCAGAGCTCCCGGTTTGATTCCCCAGCTCTCTGACCATTCCCTCAGCCATTCCCTGGGGGGTGGGCACCCAGATTTCCACATGGAGTTTCAGCAGGCTGCTGCTGCCAGCTGGGGAAATAGCCCAGAGCCACTGCCATCACCAGCTGGTAGCAGCAGCCTGCTGTCATCCCACATCATCTGGGGGCCCACACCCCCCGGGAAGAGCTGGGAGAAGTGATCAAAGAGCTAGGGGAAAGATTGGGGAGCTAGGGAATCGAACCAGGAGCTGGGGGAATGTTCAGGGACCTGGCTCGATTCCCTAGCTCCCTGTTCGATTCACCTGGGAGCTTGGGCGGCTCCACTTGTCAACCAGAGCCCGGTAGCATTCAGCCCTAGTGGCCCCAGTTCCCAGACAGTGCACAGTACCCTGCTGAGCTGAGCTGTGCCTGTGCCATGGGGCAGCTGCTGCGCAGGTACCAGGCAGGCAGGAATCCCTGCTGCCACTCACAGGGGGGCTCTGCCACGAGTGCCCAGAGGCTCCAATCGCCACTCCTGCAGCCGGTAAGTGCGGGATTTTTTTGGTTTTGTT